CTCAGGAGGGAAGATTTCATGCCGCTGCGCCACGCCCGAGCTGCCGATTCCACGAACCAGATTGTAGTCCCCAACATCAGTGTTAGTGTTCCTTTCCCCGACATATTATACTCGTCAGCGGTCGTTGGACCTGTGGTTTCGCATGGATTTCGCCTGCCGCACCATCGCTATTTTCTCTTCTTTTTTCATATATGCGGACGCGCCCTTCTACACCTCTACGTTTCGGTAACTGCATATGTGGTTAATACACCCACCAGGTTCGCACAGGAGGAATGCTCCACCTCTCTTTCCTCATACAGCCCTTGCCATCACTCTGGAGAGATTGCAACCGTTGCGTAGCTGCGCAGTACACCGCACATCCCACGCGATGCACTACCAGAACTTTTGAAGGTTGCACGATATCATCAACTCAATCGCTCGTCCAATACAACTGCAGTGAGTTCGGCATCATCTCTGATGCTTGGAAAATGTGGTCGAGACGGATGGAACGTTACCAAGGTTCATGAACCAAACCCAAATAATGAATCCCGCGTTTACTCAGAACAGCGTCCCGGACTCTGTAGAAGAGCTTCTTTCATGGCGCCCCTCAGTTCATTCAGGGGCAAAACGACTGGCACACCTGTCTATCAATTGACGAGGCTTGTCTTTGCCCTAAACAGCGCATGGGAAACCAGCAGCAACCCCAATCCTTTGTCAAGACAAAACCCATATGCACCTCCCGATTGCTGGATCACATCACGCATCATGCTCTCCGCTCTGAACATACTCCCGTTCACACTGGACATCAGGACGTCAGGTCATTGGAATTTAATTTGAACTTGTCATGTGAACGGAGTCGTGAACCGTTGGAATGATCTGTCACCGCCTCCTCTCAGTTTGTCACCCGCCTTGAAAACAGTTTCAGTACGTCAATCCTTGTCTCTGTTTTGCCTCTTTTCCCTCCTTCCCTTTCCCTGCTGCCACCCACCCCCACTAATTTACCACAGCGCGTTCAACGGCGCCGCCGTCGCCACCCCGGCGAAGTCGTCCTCGGCCATGAAGATGTCGTTCGAGTCGGAGATCGGCGCGCAGCCCCCCCTCGGATTCTGGGACCCGCTCGGCCTCCTCGAGGACGCGGACCAGGAGCGGTTCGAGCGCCTCCGGTACGTGGAGGTGAAGCACGGGCGCATTGCTATGCTCGCCATCGCCGGTCACCTGACCCAGCAGAACACCCGCCTCCCCGGTATGCTCTCGAACTCGGCGAACCTGTCGTTCGCGGACATGCCGAACGGCGTGGCCGCTCTGTCGAAGATCCCCCCGGCGGGCCTCGCCCAGATCTTCGCGTTCATCGGCTTCCTTGAGCTGGCTGTGATGAAGAACGTGGAGGGCTCGTTCCCCGGAGACTTCACCCTGGGCGGCAACCCGTTCGGGTCCTCGTGGGACGCGATGTCGGAGGAGACCCAGGCGTCGAAGCGCGCGATCGAGCTGAACAACGGGCGCGCGGCACAGATGGGCATCCTGGCTCTGATGGTGCACGA